ATTTGTTGAAGAAGGAACTGTTATGCATATGATCTTGAATGAAGCTAGAGAAATTTTAAAAAGTAACAGGGTATAAAAAGTGACAACCGATTCCTCATGGAGGGTGATGATACTCCTTTAGACTGGTGCCTCCAGATGTTAGGACTTTAACTCCCACAATATTCAGCGATGGCCATATTGGCTATGGAATTCTGGGCACTGGAAGTATTAATATCTGGAGGGCCTCCAACTGGGAAGGTTAACATAAAGCCTATAGACAACTCTTGAGGGAATGGAGGGCCTTGGCACTGTAAGCACAAAATCCTCCCACTGAGAATTTGAGGATGCACTGAAAACAGATCTTACTCTCTCTTTTCCCCACCATCTTTGTCTCATGCACACATGTGCACATCCACACCATGATGGCAGGAGGTTTGGCTTCTAGGTCTTTGTTAAAGCCTAGGGCCATATTTAGGGAATGCTGTATAAACCTCTAGCCTGAAAAGAGAAACTTTGTGGCAGCATCAGCTTCTAAGGGCCCTTCTTCACTGCCATGTCGATGGGTTCTCCTCCTGTCTCTGATTTGGGAGATAATACATCAGCATCAATTTCACTGTTCCCACAGTATCCTCCTACCATAGCTCAGCAATGGGGTCAGCAGTGTTGCAGCCCTCCCACAATTTAACAGAGTTAGTTTCAAGGTAGCAATTCCAGGGTTCCCTATCATCCTTTTCCCTCTTAGCAAGAAAATCAACCATCAAGTGCTCTTCTGGTAGGGGTGGGAATCAAACCTTGTTTTTTAATTTAATTTAAACTGATATTATGCACTGCATGGTTCTCAGGGCAAAAGGCCAACCACCTCGCAAACAGACCACACAGCAAGCTGACATTGCTCCAGACGAATGGGGACGGAAGAGCTGGTCTGCAGTGGAACCCTGTTCCAGATCAGTAGTTCAGCCTCCTGCTGTTGGTTCTTCCTGATTTGATAATAAATCACCAGCTAAAGGTTTGAGCTATTCTTATTTGTTATTTATCGACTCCCTCATTCAGTTTAGCATTATCCTCATAATTACTATGAAAAAAGTGACTATATAAAGCCAATGAAATGTGCTATGACAGCCATTTGCGTAGGTTCTGGGTCTAATAGCTTGAGGTAAAAAAACCAGTATGGACTATAGTGCAACCAATAGCTATTTAACTCCAACAGGAATCAGCAAGGAACCAGCAACAGACACTGGCATCAAACACCAGACAGAATCCACTCAATCAAATATCTGAACGCAACTGGAAAGAGAATATTGTGTATATTGCAGCGGCCTCTTTTTATATTTGATTGGTCCCTCACTCTCATCTATCCCTTCCCATTTCTTATTGTTTTAACAACTGTTTCATGTGTGCAGTTACACTACAAGGAGGACATTCTCCAAACACTTCTTTGCTGGTGTCTGGTATTTCCAAGCACAGAAATTCCTCTTCTTCTCAGGAGACCACAACTGCTCTCTGGATATGAAAGACTGACAAGATAGTTTCCCCCCCCCTTTTTTTTTTTTTGGCATTCCTCCTCCTCCTCCTCTTTTTCTTTTGATCCCTTCCCAGCTGACAGGATTTAACCCAATTTTGCCTGCTGACATTGTCCTGTAAATGTGAGCACACCTGCTGGTAAAGCCACCCACTTGTTCCTCAAAGTGCACCCTTGGTGGGTTAGCAATTGTTCCGATTTCTCAAGGTGTTGCAAAGACAGAGGAAGACAAGGGAAACTAGCCTTGCTCCCATTGCTTCCTCAAAACAATATGTCAAATACAACACTGATTCCACCAGTACCCTGAATATTTCCTATGCAGAAGCCCCACATTTGGCTGATAGTGTTTATATCATGTGTGTACCGCGTTACACTTCAGTAGCTAAATGGCATTAGTGGAAGATGGAGAAAATTGTTCTCCAGTAAAATGTACAACCTGCTACACTGTCCTTCCATTTGGGAAATGCTGCTAAGAAACAAAAGAGTTGTGCATGATGGGGAGGGAGCTTGCCATATGAGTCCTCCAGAACCTTTTAAGGGAGAAGTACCTTTTAGTTTGGCTTGTTTGTACATGGGAGTATCGGTCTCCATCCAGAAACTGGAGAGGAAGCGGCAATTCCAGGCCAAGTGGAACTTAGCAGATCTCTGGTGCTGATGACTTCTTTTTCAGATGCAGAATTTATATGCCAGTATATCTACCTTAAGGGTGAGGTATAATCCCTAAAGGTTCCTCTCTGATATGGTATGTATTCGGAAAGGAGTGCGACAGGGATGTATTCTTGCCCCATCTTTCTTTAATTTATACTTCATTCTTTAATTTATACTTCATTCTTTATCAGTTCTATGGTAGACCATCTTCACAACCCAGGTTTTCATACTCCCAAACTAGCAGGGCATAATATTTCCATATTCCTCTACACTATTGATTTTACGATAATACCACCAACTGCTATGAGACTAAAAAAATCAAAAGCAGCAATAGTTTGGTATTGGAGACAAAGCTGATTGCTACTTAATTTTGAAAAATCTACAATTCTGGTTTTTGCAAAAAACAGCAGTCACTCTGGAAAGCAGAAGAGCACAAATAGAGCATGTTACTGCCTTTAAATACCTCAGGGTGCTAAAGACACCTGGAGTGCACATCAGAATCACACAGTGCTGTTACCCTAAGATCCTCAAATGCTATTAAGCACTTTTTGTTACACAGATGGAGGTCAAGTAATCCTGTGGTGCCAAAACTGTAAGGCCAAATCATCTGTGGTGCACAAGAGAGAATTTATGCAAAGAACGCGCTGGAATCCTAAGATCAATTCTTAGCGCACCTAATGGCACTGCGAAGGCTCAGTTAAGACTTGAGACAGGAATGCCCAGAATCCAGGTAAAGGTCTGGAAGATGGTGACAAACTACTGGTTGAAAATCCAGTTTATTTTTCCAGCTGGACTGACCTGACCTCTTTAGTTTCCACAGATAACTTCTCTTCTCCAGGCAACAGGCTGTAGAGCAGGGGTTAGCATTATGTGGGCTTTCCGCATCATTCCTAATCTCTCTAGGGCAGTGTTTCTCAACCTTGGCCACTTTAAGATGAGTGGACTTCAACTCCCAGAATTCCCCAGCCGGCATGGGTG